CTCTGATCCCGGAAATCCTTTCTAAATCTCCACTCAGGCCACGATTCCCGATGGTCGTTGAACTAGTGGGATGGGACTTTGCCATGGGTGCGATAGGATATGCAGAAATTAACCTCCGAACTAATTATATCCCGCAGGTTTTATGAAATACGGTGCGCTCGCTGTCGATATTGATTAACAAATCAGTGACAATCACACTAATAGGATCATCCTGGTGCGATTCTATAGTTATCTTGCAGCTCGAAGGAAGTAACCATTTCAGGCGTGGTCGACGTAAACTATTCTCTGCAGCCTTGAATTCCCGCGCTTCAATGCAATTTCGACCGATGGAACTTGGTGCAGCTCATGCATTGTTGCGACGCATTTTGGAAAACCCAGAAGGCGATGTGATCAAAAACTTCCAGCAGTGCGTCTTCCTCAGGCCAAGGCCCAATCCGACTTACACTGCACAGGCTGGTCGGGGGGCTGATCATGTCCATCGCATATGGAATCGATGTTTTGCCTGCGAATGATCCTTACCTCAAGTTGACTCACGAATCCATGCATGGCTTGTCGGTCGCAGCAACCCCAGGGAAATATCTTGTGGCAAGTCCAGAAGTACTTCCACCTCCGCGAGTTGAAAGAATTTTCATCAGGACGCAATTCCTGGATTAAAATATATTCCCTCATGGTTCCCCGGCGCTGGCTTCAAGCGCCAGGCCAGCAGATGGAGAGAAGTCACGAGAAAATCGGTGCGAGTGCCGTTCGAAGAGGCAAAGCGCAGAATAGTGAGTGGACAACGGAGTATCACTACGTTCCGCCGTTGGCTAGACTCAGTCTGCCGAGGTCCGTGGAGCCGAGTCCAGATGCGGCTAGCCGATCACACAGCTGTGTCGGCTACACACAGCTTTCGCGGCTACAAATAGCCTGTGTGATCGGCTAGCCGCGGCTTGATTCGGCTCCACAGACCTCGGCAACTGAGTCTAGCCGACGGCGGAATGTAGTGTATGTTTTACCCCCAACTCACATCCTCGGCGATAGTCAACGGGTAAAGCGGAAACCTCATTCCTCTCGCAACTTCTTTCAATGGAATGGGACACCTTGGACCCGAATTACTCTGAAGATGCCATCAGAGACGCTGCTGGAAGCATCTTCAATGCCGGTAATCATACAACCGTGGCTAGTCTCGGAACGTTCGCGCTTGCGATGTTGCTGCACCCAGACACTCAGAAGATGGCACAGTTGGAGATTGATAGTGTAGTCGGCCGTGACCGCCTCCCGACGTTTGAAGACAAGCCGACGCTGCCTTACATCACCGCGGTGGTGAATGAGGTCCTTCGATGGAGACCTGTGGCCCCGCTTGGTCCGTTGTATCGTCGATTTTCCGACTCATCTCAGTCGAAAGGTGTGACAGGTATACCGCACTTCATCGCAGTGGAGGACGAATATCGGGGATACAGGATCCCGGCAGGATCTATCGTCATCGGAAATACATGGTAAATCCATTTCTTCTCGTTACCCGGATTATTGACGATGACCATCAGGGCCATTTTTAACGATGAGGTGAGTGTCCCGTCATTAGTGACTGGAATTACTGATTATTTGTAGGCTCTCTATCCGGCACCGTCTGTTTTCAACCCCGATCGCTTTCTTCCAAAGAACCAGCGTGACGGGATTAACCCAGATCCGGAGTTCGCCTTTGGTTATGGGAGGAGGTACGCCTCAGAGAAAATCGTAAATCCTGTCAGACTTGAAGAAGAAACCAGGGCTTGTCCTGGGCAATTCATGGCGTTCGATTCTCTTTGGATCACTGTCGCCTCCCTTCTTGCCGCCTTCGATATTACTCGGGCTGTTGGAGAGGATGGGAAGGAGATCGAACCGAGCGGCGAATATTCTTCTGGGCTCGCATGGTACGTGCATATCTCACATGCGTCTGGAGCAGATTATCATACCGTACAAACAGCACCCCACTGCCGTTCCAGTCTTTCATAAAGCCACGATCCAAGCGGTCTGCAGATCTAGTTGAGGCAACCGCAATGTAGGTGAATCGGAGCTGTGGTACTGTGTAATTACAAAGCCGTCCCACCTATGTTCATTCCTTTCCCCATACAATTACTTATGCGCACCCACGAGCCCTGTAACTCACTGGACCGACGACCTCTTGCCGCATGCGACCGCATTTCCAGCGGGTGATGCTATTTTATAATATCAAAATTCTCTAATTAAGAGATTCGTCTTAGGATTGAGGACGGTCAGGACGAGAAACGATTACAGCAGCGTGAAGTCAAAACACATCCTGTCAGTATATCCGGAGCTGGCGGCGGCAGACCTGAATTCAAGCTCTACTGCGCCGCAGGGTTGATTTCAAAACGAGGTCGGTGTGTGGGATGTCGCGAAATCACAGTATCTTGCTATTGTCAGGGAGACTGCGGCATATAGCTACCACGATGCCGGACGTTTGAAATCCCTTCGTAGTCGGCGTGAAGGCCACGTGGATCGGGAAGAAGGCTCTCCACAAACCCAACGGAGATTTACTGTGTGAACTGACACGCTGCTGCAAGGCGCTCGAGGGCAGTCGGACCCGTCTGTATTGCATCCGCAAGTGGTAAGAAGAAAAAAATATTACATCTGTTCTCCGGATTTATTGGCTGATGTGACGGCATATAGATGAAGAGGTACGTGACACGGAGGGAGGAAAGGAGGGAGCAGAAGAGAAGGGGGAGCAAGGCGCGTCAGGCGGGGGGACGGATATGGAGGGGAAAGCCGGGAGGACAGGGGAGGCGCGAAGCGTGTCTGGAGCCAATGCCGGACTCGGACTTGGGCATGTAACGCAAAGCCACGGGTCGGTCCGCACGCGCTCGGGCACGATCTGGCGCCAGGGTGGGCGTCCGTATTGTTGATATCGGCGCGTTCGGAGCGGCTCCGCGGCAGCAAGGAGACAAGTGGGGTGAGGGAGGAGGGCCATGTCCAGAGGTCGTAAGTCGGGGGAGATATTCGGGGTCAGGCGAGTTTGTAGATGAGGGCAGAAGATGAGGGCAGGATGGGACCTGGTGCGTTGCGAGAAGTTAAGTAGAGTGCGTACAGGACGTGCTGGACATGCCGCTACACGGCCAGCACACGTGGGTAGACAGACGCGCGCCGGTGTTGATGGATCGGCGCGGTTGCGCGGTGGGTTGGCAACGAGCGGTGAGACGGCATAAGACGGGGTGGGGAGGGAGGAGAAAGCAGGAACGAGTGGCATTGGAGATGGCGAAGGTGAGAGAGGAGAGAAAGAAGGGGCGAAGAGGGAGCGAAAGGGTTAGGTGAAGGGAGGGACCGAGCGGGAACACATGCGCTCGTAAGTGCGAGGTCGGTAGCCGCAGCTGGTAGCGAGCGCGCACGGGAAGTGGTACGGCAGCAACGAGCGTGCCGGGGCTTGAGAGTATGCAGTCGGTGAATCGCAGGGGAAGAATGGGCGCAAGAGGTGCTGAGCAGCGCCGTGTAACGGCGGCTTTCCGGCAGGCAATCGGTGAATCGCGACGCCGGGAGGCGTCGTGAGACATCGGCGGCTCTTCGACGCACCTGCCCGCCTTTCCATCCTTTTACTCGCCCGCTCCGTCCTTCTCTCCATATGCCGGGAGCCGAGTCGTCTATGCTTGACGTCGGGATTTGGGTGTCGAGGTACTTAGTTGAAGTTAGTTGAGCACAAGTCGGCCACGTCGCGTGTCGAGAATAAGTTACGGCAGTGGCTCCTGATCGGGAAAACCGTAAGCATGATTGCGGACGCTTTGTTTCATTGAGAACATCCGTCAGCCCACCATGGCGGCGAGGCGTGCATCGATGCAAAGATCAAAGTGGAGAGAGAGCTGGCGGTGCTTGATGGAGGTTGCCATCAGCTGCTTTGGGAGTTGATCCGATTTCGGCCGATAGGGGGGGTAGAAACTCTGTGCCGTCTGGCAAGACTGCACCTACAGGAAGAGCACACCTCTTGTCTTCCATTTGAGGTCGTGCAGTACTTTGAATAAGAACAAGTTCTCGTGGAGTAATGCAGCTCACTCCCAAAATATAATAGAAGTCTCGGATCTTATATGGGTGGGAATGGCGGTTAGAACCCGCCCGAAGACATACATTGTTTGTGTTGTTAAGTGGGGAAAACTCAGATGGGCGCAGATAGGGTGCTGATAAAGCGGGTCTCAGATGGGTCTCAGATGTGGGGGCGAAAAGCCCTTATCCATTGCAAGAGAAGCTACCTATATAGGAGAAGAACAATAGAGCAGGTAAAGACAATAAGAACAATAAGGGGAGATCAGTATCAGTAAAGAACAATAAGAACAATAAGAGGAGGAGAACAATAAGAAGATCTGTATCACAACAATAAGATCTGTATCAGGAAGAAGGAACCATGTGATCGTCCGAACCAAACAAGGAGCCAAATGTCACAGTTCAACATGTTGGAAAATGGCTGAACCCGGAATCGAACCGGGGACCTCTAAGTGATTGCGCCACTAGTGCTCTTTCCAGCTGAGCTATTCTGCCAATAGTGTGCAAGGAACAAATCCATACTGCAACACTCCCCCGGTTACTAAGCACTATTGGCTTATGTAACTCGCAAAGGGGGGCACCATTTTCCTAGGCACTCTCAGGCTGCAAAGAGACTGTTTCACTCTTTGACTTATAACCTGTGAGTTGCTGCTACCATGTTGGAAAATGGCTGAACCCGGAATCGAACCGGGGACCTCTAAGTGATTGCGCCACTAGTGCTCTTTCCAGCTGAGCTATTCTGCCAATAGTGTGCAAGGAACAAATCCATACTGCAACATGTGTTCCGCTTTTTTTTTCTTATGTGCGTACCGCAAGCGTTTCCGTATTCACACTTCGACCCAGCATGCCGGGGCCTTTATTCCGAACAAGTTGAAGAACACTGACTTCTCCATACATACATAGGCATTGCACCAGAATTGAACACCGGCATGATGGCCAAAACCTTCCTTCGTACGCACGCGACACAAACCCCAGTGTAAGATTGACTTCCTGATCACAAAGCCCTCGTGGAGCAGTGCAGCTCACTCTCACAACATTCTCTTGTTGCAAGCATATCTGGGAGAGCCGGTGGTTCGAATCCACCCGAGGGCACCCATGGGCTCGTTTGTGCCTTTTCCTTTCCATCTTTTTTCCCACCAGCACACAATTCCTTCTATTTTGTTGAATCATCCTGCTGAGTTGAACGCTGAAGGTGACCTGGAGAAGCAGACTTCGATCAGTTTAACATTAGAGCAAACACACATCTTTTTCTCCCCGGATTCTCAGTATTTCTTTGAATGAAAACAACTCTCACTATAAGACTCCACTCGGGTTTTTTTCACCCGTTTTTTAACCCGTGGTCTGGGTTAAAGCAACCCGTTCATGGATGATTACACCCCGAATTCAGTGAGATTCACCCGAAAATCGGGTTGAAATCCCAACCTTTAAACGGGACACTTTCGTGACTATTGTCCGTTTTGTTTGACAGTTCACCCAGTCGAAGGGCATCAAGACTTTGAGTCGTTTGTTTTCATCACTGTAAGAAAGAGCAGTAGATTTCAATACTGCTTTGAATTTGTGCGGATGTTCAAGCGGCAGTTTGCTTTGTATCAGATCCACATCCAAAAGGCCGTCTCACAGCATTCCCAAGAGGCTGTCTCACAGCATTCCCAAGAGGCTCAGGGCTCTTGTGATTGCGGAAGGGATTTCATTCTGTAACTTGATAAAGATAGTGAGATAGATAGATCAAGGTTGGATCTTTTGTTGAATCCCTCCAAGATCATGGAGGTCTTCTCTTCACTCCACTGCAATAGGATGTTAGAGCAGCCCTTCGAGTCCACCAAATGGGCAAGGAGATTAATTGCAAGTGGAATATTGTCTGTGAGGAAGAGGATTTTGTCAACCTCCTCCAGGTCATGTTTGTCATCTGCAATATTGGTGAATGTAAGATGTGCAGCTTCCTGGTCTAAAAGTTTCAAGGGCAACAGAAATGGCCGTGTCCATTGCATCTTTGCTGGTCTTTCTGCCCCACACGTAGTGATCTGATATGTTATGTGTCGTGCTCTTCAATCTGTGCCTCTCACATGTGATTGACTCGGTAGATGCAGGTTTTGGGTTTTATTTTTGGGGGAGAATGAGATTGGGAGAACTGAAGCAGAGAGTTGGGGAGGGGCTATGTGGAGGTGTTTTGTTGTTCAGATGCACATTGGTTCACAAGCAGATGGGAGAAGGGTGCTGGTGGCACACACGGGATTATGGTTATCTCTGCGACATGGGGCATGTGGGTGCGGGGAGGGGCATTGCACTCACTTTTCAGGAAAGGGGGTGGAGACCGGCGATGCGAGAAAGTGCGGATGTGGCCGCGTTTTTTGGTGCTTGCATTGAGGGCAGGTTGCGATGTGATGGGGATGGGCATTTTCGCTTCGCTTGGTGCAGAGCTGCATGCAACGCGAGCTTCACGGTGTCAGGCTAGATAAGGGTGGAGGTGGCGATGGTGGTGAGCGAGGTGGTCGTCGAAGCAAGAGAGGGGATTTTGCACCATCAGGCAAGGGTGAGCTTGTGGAATCGAGCTCGTGACTCGAGGCATCTGTCAACTTAATCGAGGCGGGGGTGCGCTGCCAACCATGAGCTAACCTCCGTCTGGTGTGGCCTCACTTGTTCCTTGTCCATCTTGTTGGTTCTTCCATTCCCCATGTATGTCCCTTTTCCCTTTCCATCACGTGTCTCCTCTTGTTCTCCCCTTCATCTATTCTTTCACTTTCAAGTTCAATTGACGTCTCTCTTTAAATAAATAAATAAAATTTTTATTTGACATCTGGCCAAACATACATCCCCCATCCCGGTAACATAAAAGGTAAGTACAAATCGCACATGTGGAATTCCCTGTGTTCTCGTCTTGAAGGCATTCAAGCTACACCTATGTCTGCAACACTTTTTTTGTTGTCTGACATGTTCTCAAGGTCTTCAGTGTCATCCTGATCATCCTCGACCTCGTCCACCATGCCTGAGGGTGCATTTAGCTGTGCTAACTTTGCTGAGTTCTCCCTGTGCTGGAGCTGTATTTCCTGGCCCAGGCCAGCAATCCTACAATCAATATTTTCCACTTGTTGGGCTTGTGATGAGTGTTCAAAGAGTGGCCTTGCCGTATCCCAGAGCTCCATTGCTTTTGGCAGGTCCCCACAGCTCTTGGATATGTCCCCCAGTTTCAGCATGCATTCCGCTCTGCTGCGGTGAACATCCATGTAGGTGAACCCCTCAAGGGCAGCAGTGAACAAGTTGATAGCACTGCTCTCATCTCCTTGAGTAAGGAACAGGTCTCCAAAAAATTGTATGGCTTTATGAACTCTGAGGTTCTTTTTATGCTTGACAGAATGTACCAGAAATACAGTGGTCCATCTGACCCTTGATTGTGCAGCACCCCATTGGCTGACATTGGCTAACCATTCAAGACAGAAGGATCCAATTAGACTGTCCTGGTTTAATTTGAGGTTTTTTTCTAACAATAGCCTCGCTGGCAGTAGATCCTTCTCCCTGGCATACAGTGCTGCAACCATAGCATCACAAGCTGTCACCCATATCTTGAGCCCAAATGAGCTGAATATTGATTGGGCAAAATCAATATCCTTTTGAATAAAATCTTTTTGGACCCCTATTAACAATCCCATTTCAGCAACATTGAGTAATACAACTGCATGCCAATAGGCATCCTGGTTCGCTGAGATATCCTGAAGCATACGGGTATAAATATCCCGGGCCTGGCTATATTCTGATTTACATATGTGGACCTCGGCCTGAGTATGTGTGATGGCAAGGTTTCCCTCACTCGTAGACATACCACAAAGAGCAAGGAGATTCCTTGCCCGAATACACAGCAACAGGCTTTGCTTGTAGTGACCCACTTCTGTCCAAAACATGGCCTCCAGACGGGCTGCATGTGCCTCACTGTACAAATCTCCAGATGCTCTTGCCAATCTCTGACTTTGCTGTGCATACAGTTGAAATTTGGAAGGTTCACCAGATAAAAACTTGACCCATGCAAGGTAACGCAATCCCAGAGCCTGTCCTCTGATATACCCAGTTGAAATCCCCAACGATATAGCTCTGTTACACATTTTGGCGGCCTCTAGAAGATCATGCTTGGCTTGAGAATAATAGTTTGCTGTGGTCACATAGAAGGTACCTGAGAGCTTATTTGAGTTATAATAGATGAGTGTTGAGCATTAAACATACATTTAAGTTCTGGATCATCAATATGTTCACAATATTCCAACCCTTGAGATATCAGAGCCTCTGGATCATGGACCAGGTAGTTTGACATGCTAAGCAACTCAGTAATCACATAAAGCTGAAGTTGTTGATCTCCAAGATGTGGAAGTAGATGCTGTATCTCGCCAATGAGATGAGCACTCCCCTGGTTGGTAGCCCGGTGGAAATGGCTTAAATGGCATACACCACGAATGGTATCCAAAAGGTTTGAATGCTTCTCTTGGAGCCCCCACAGAAGCAGATTTTGGATGTTGGCAATGTTGGATGCTATGTGGTTGACTGTGCTGACACTTGTCTGAGTTCCTTTATACTCCACATAAAGGTGGAGCAAGTCCTGGAAATGTTTGAGAAGTGTGTGGACCAACTGATCCTCAGGGTGCTGATGTTGCTGGACATATTCTCTGATGGGCATCAACACTTTGAGCCGTTTATTTTCATCGTTGTAGGCAAGAGCAGTAGACATCAATACTGCTTTGCATTTGAGGGGAAATTCGAATGGCAGTTTGCTTTGTATCAGATCCACATCCGAAAGGCCATCTGGCAGCATTCCCAAGAGGCTCAGGAGCTCTTGGGATTGTGGAAGCAATTTAATCCTGGGACTGGACAATGACAGCGAGATAGATAGATCCAAGTTGGATCTTTTGTCAAAGCCTTCTGAGATCATTAAGGTCTTTTCCTTCTTCCACCGCAATAGCACATTGGAGCAGCCCTCTGAGTCAACAAGGTGGGCAAGGAGATTAATTGCAAGTGGCATATTGTCTGTGAGGGAGAGGATTTTGTCAACCTCCTTCAGGTCATGCTTGTCATCTGCAATATCGATGAATGTAAGACGTGCAGCTTCCTGATCTAAAGGTTTCAAGGGCAGCAGAAATGGCCGTGTCCATTGCACCTTTGCTGGTCTTTCTGCCCCACGCATAGTGATCTGATATGGTATGAATAAAAAATCGTTGGAACACATACCCATCTACTCACCATCAATGCCAGATGGTTGATGTCTGTCAGGAGTGACAACAATTCTTCAATATCACCCCGAGATTCTGTGGACTCCCACAATGTCTCAAGTTCATCCAAAATGAGGAGACTTGGGGGATTGTTGGAGAGGTCTCTGAGCACTGCTTGGATAGGATCTTTTCCCGGCTTGAGTCCGATATGAGTGCCAATGAGGGTAACAAGTTCCATTTTGGTTGTTGCGGAGCCACAATCAACAAAGAACCTATTTTGTTGGTATGTGGCTGTGATGGCCGGGTGGTGCAGTAGAACCCTGGCAATAGAGCTTTTGCCCATCCCACCTGCCCCCAAAATGGCAATCCTTGGGGTTTTGGCCTTGAAAAAGTCAAGTATATCTGAAACTTCTGAATCACGGCCGTGGAAGATCTTTGGCTCGGATGGTAGCATGGAGATGGAGTTGGAGCTTGAAGACACAATTTGAGCTATCACACAGGTACCCTGGGATGTTACATACCTACTGTAGGATTGAGAATAGGGTCTGCTTATCTATGAAAAGATTAATGTGGATCTAGTGAAACAATTGCATTCTTCACCATGGACCCTTGTTCTGAAACAGTGCTCTCAGAAAGAGCTTCAACCATATCAAGCACTTCTTGGTATCGCTTCTGTGCATCTATCTCCATCTCTGCGACACTGGGTAGAATTATGGCTGATTCAATCTGTGACCGACATTCATCACTCAATTGTGGTGGCCCAGTAAGATGGCAAACCTGAAAGAACTCAAGGCCTTGTTGCAATCCAACCTTGCACTCTTTCAGTAGTGCACTTGATTCACTCTGGTGGAAGAAAGATCTGATTTTGCTGCCTTTCTGGTGGGCCTCAATGAAGTTATGTATTTT